CTAGGAGCAGGACTAGGCCCACCCCTGAGTCCTGCGCTCCCCCCAAAGGGGTACAACACCCTGTCCATCCCATCCCCATATGTACATCACTGTCCCAAGCTCGGGACAGGTGGGGGTAGGAGAGGCAGAGTGGCATGACCCCCTTCCCCTTCATAGCTCCAAAGACTCACCAGGAGGAACCCAGGCCAAGGGAAGACTTGACAGAGACACACCTCCTTACATACACACACACACACACACACACACACACACACATCCATACATAAATGCACCAACACATATATACACAAACACCCACATCTTGAAACTTCTGCCTTGCAAAGTTTTGGCTGCTGGCGTCCCACGTGTCTGAAATTCACAGAGGAAGGCGTGCCTCCTGTGAGGCTGATGCCCTGGTGAGCCAAGTGGCAGTGCCCACGCTGAGCAGGTCCTCATGGCTGGGCAAATGCTGGGCAGTGTCTGTCCCAGGCAGAGCAAGTGCCCCTGCCATGTCCCTGAGGTAGCTGGTGCCTGTGCAAAAGGAAGAGTGCACCTCCCACGAAACCCCCCGCCAATGAGGTGGGTGGGGGGTTTCCCTCATACTGAGGACTCCTCTGGGTTAGAGTCAGGCAGTGGCTGCCGCTGCTGTAGTTTGCGTCGCAGTTCATCCGCGAGCTCAGGAAGTGGGTGCCCAAGTCCTTCTCGGTCCTCCCCTCCCAGTTGTAAGCGTACATAACCATTAGCGTTTGAGTTCCGACCACCCCCTAGGTGAAGCCGAGTCGGAGAAGGCAGGGGCTGGCCAGGTATGCCAGGAGGCGGAGAAGGGGGACCGCCCCCAGGCTGGCACCGGGCATGACCAGGCACAATCTTGAGAGACCCATCTGAATAGTAGTAGCCAACGGGATCCCAGAGTTTCTCATCTGTTTCAGGGCCAGGACGAAAGGGGGGACTGGTTGTTTCCTTGGGCAGTTCTAAGGGGTACACCAATGTCCTCTCAGCTGCCTTGGCACCTTTTTCTAGCTGTTCCCGAAGTCGCCGTCGAAGTGACAAAACCAGCAGCAGCAACACCAGGCACACGGCCCCCAGAGCCACCACAGCTAGCCATACAAGCCCCAGGTTTTCCAAGGGAGCCCGGGCCTCCAGGGTCACCGATGGGCCAGCCACGACAGTAACACGGTAGCTTTCTGCAGGTAGCCTTGTCCCCTGCTCCTCCAAGTAGCATCGATAGAGCCCAGCGTGGCGGGGCTGGGCAGCCATCACTACCAGCACCTGCAGTCCTGGGTCATAAAGGAAGGAGCCAGGTTGTTCTGCAGGCAGGTCCTGGTTTTTGAAGGTCCAGTGAGCACGGGCCAAATTGGATGAGAGGTGGCAGGGCAGAACCAGGTCTGTGCCTGCTACTACTGTGATGTTCTTGGAAGTAGGTCTGACTGTAGAGGCGAAAATGAGAGAACAGTATTAACATAGGAAACCCAGAGCCAACAGCAGGAGGAGATGCACCAACTCTGGCTGTGATGGGGGGCCCATCCCCAAAATGAAGAAATGACAATAACAACAACAACAACAAAACAGCTCACCTTTCTTAATGCCATACTGGTTACACAACTTTGAGGTGTCCAAGTTTGTCACTTGTTGGACCAGAAGGGATCTGTAGGGAAATGAGAGGACATCGGCAGTGCTACTCTAAACCACTTTGCCTCCCCTCCTGGCCCTGGCACTCACAGATTACCAGACTCACCCTGAGTGATCACCGAAGGTGGCCACACAGCGGCTGGTATTGACATTCCAGGCACAGTAGGGGTCCCGGGCAAGGACACAGTCTGCACAGAGGTGGTACTTTGTACAGTCAGCCAGGGGCAACTGGACCAGCTGAGAGTGGGAGCCAGCAAAAAGCATCTTCTGCAGAAAAATCAGGCAAAGGGTTAGCCTTTGAGAGGGACAGGCGCAGAGAGTGGTAGCTGGGATTTGTACAGGGAGAGTGAGCACACTAGGTACCAAAGGAGGAAGAAGGCAGAAGAAAAGTCCAGGCCGGAGGAACAAATGTGATGAGGGCTTAGCCAACCCAATCCTAATCACTTTAATAGACATGACCCCATTAGACAAGGGCAGCAGACTGTGAGGCTGAGGTGTAAGCACACTTGCTCACACACAGTTCAGGGAACTGTGTTTTCCTCCTGCCCGAGGAGCCAGCACAATAACAAGGGTACCCCTCTAAGATGTTTTCCACTGTGTGAATGGTGACTGCCAATCTGTGTGTTTGCTCCACCCCACACTTTTCCTTGCTGCCATTTCATTATTCAAAGATTGGAGAACAACAACTTTGAGTCATGATAACTGCTAAAAGGCAAACAAATCAAAGTCCAGAGGGTACTGTGGATATGCCAGTTTTGTATGAAGGTAAAAAAAAAAAAAGCAAATGCTTCAAGGAAATGATCCAGGAAATTGAGGGCCTGACAGAGACCCACTGGGAACTAGAAGAAAACTGATGTCCCTGATGCATGGGTACCAAAAACATCTTGGAGTCTGGGAGGTCTGGTCAATGACTGAGAAGAGGTTACAGGCAAAGCCCCAGACCCACTTGGAAGGGCCTGAAGAAAACATCAGTGCATTTGCCAAGGCTGGATTCTGGGAATGGGGGCCCCACAGGGACTGGCTCCATATAAGAACTCTTGGAGGGCAGGTTCCGGTGTGTTAGTGCTCTTACTCCCTGGAACTCACAAGCGCTAAGTGAGGAGTCCTGAGCTGGCCAATCACATGAGCCCGATTAGGGAAGCAGAAAGACTGGGTGTGAGATGGATGGTGATGCAGAGGGCAGTGGGGAATCTGTGTGGTTCATCCTACTACCTGGCTCTGAGACAGCACCAGACTTCCCACTGGCTCCTGGTCAAACACCTGCAGTTCCTCTATCACATGGATCCAGGGCCCCAGGTTCACAGCCTTCAGCAGCCAGCCATCTCCTGGAGAGGTGATGAGGAGGGGTGTGTTAATGATGAGGCCTCAGGCCTGGGGCACCCCCAGGCTCCCAGCCTTGGCACACCCAAAGAGCCTACCTGTACCAATGAACAGCACTGTATAAGTGGCACCATCGAGCCCTGTGACCCTGTCGGCTGCCATGTGTGTGAAGTTAGTGTTCTTCTTCACAAGCAGGGGGCGGCCCCACCGAGGCTGCACCTGATCCTCCATCAGGGGGTGCTTTTTGATGAAGTTGAGGATGTTGTCAGGCAGCTCCAGAGAACTGGTGTAGCCGTTGTGGCGGTGCCAATTGTTGATGCACTGTGTGGGGGGAGGGATATGGGAAGAGAGCCATCAGCTGGGTGAATGAATGGGTCTTGGAGCTGACGTTGGGAACACAGCCCCATGCGGAAGACTCACCGAACCGGGCCGAGGGCTGGGTACTGGGTCAGTATAGCGGGCCCATTTCTGGGCTTGCTCACTGTATTCTTTGTAGGGACCCTCGAACACCTGCTGGATCTGTTCCAACTGGTACTCACAGACTGCTGACAGGTCCATATCACCCCTGGTACAGCAAAGGAAGGACCTTGAATGTCGGGTCTGGTGCCTACTTGCCCGCACCACACCCCAGCTCCAGAGGAAGCACTAAGAAGGCAGGGCTCAAGATGGAGCAGTCATGGCCATGAGGTGGCTCTGAGGTAACACCTGAGGCAGTTTCTGCTCCTCTCCCCCACAGAGCTTTAAAAAGAGCAAGCCAGAGTGATCTTGGCTGCCAGGCACTGACCAGCTGGACTTCCTCCAGAGACCTGTGCAGGCCCTCACACCCACACACCATCTCCGACCTGACCACCTGCTCCTCCCTACCCCCAACAACGCCAGAGCTACTTACCACCGTGCTTGAAAAACCCCAAAGAAGGTGGTGTTTTGCCAAGAGGCACCCAGCAGGGTGTGCACTGACCGAAGCTGGTTGAAGTAGACCTTCCAGTCAGGGGCTGCGCACGCCAACTGTGCTTTTAGGAAAGTTGTCCACTTCTTCTGTAGGGTCCGTGCGCCCCCCATGTCGCCCTGGCAGATGGCAAGGAGACATGGCTGGTCAGCCCCTGCCAAGCCTTCAGGGCTCCCACTGCCCACCACTGCGGAACTTGGTACCTTACAGACGCGAGCCACACGAGCCACCACCTGCTCAGCATAGCAGTCATACTCGACCGCCCGCTCACTGAAGAAGAAGTAGACCTTGTCATCGTCCCCCGTGAAGCTCCCCACACTCTCAGGGACATAGGCAGAGCCTACAAAGTGGGGTTCTGGGGCAAAGTAAGGAAGGTCAGTGGCAGGGTGCCAGGGCCTTTGAAGGCCCTTCCACTCTCGGCTTCCCCAATCCCACTCCATGACTCACCATTCAGCCAAAACGCCAGGTACTCTGTTTTGACGGGGTGGTGGGGGCCCATGTTTCGCAGGATAATAGGCTCTGTACCCAGGAAGTTGTTGAGTGTGGCTGAGAACATCTCACCGTCTAGAAGAGACAAATGGCAGGTCAACTAAGCCAGAAAAGTAAGGTACGGATGTACTCTGGAGACAAGTATCCGGAATGTGACTAAAGTCCCATGAGGTTTACCCTGTCTGTACTGAAGGGTAGCCACTCACCCACAAGGAGTCCAGTGTGGCCCTTAGCTGGGTCATAGGGGCATTTACCCTTCCCATCCTCAAGTTCTTCACGCTTCAATTTGAAACTGAGCTTGTTCTAGGGGCAGGAAGACATGGAAGACAGGCATTAATATGGGGGCCCTGCTCGGCCTGAAAAATCCTGGTCTCGAGAGTCCAAGGAAGGAAGTCACAGAAATTAGGGGCAGGTGGGTAAGGGACACACCCAAAGAGGGAGGGTAACACTCACGATGTAGGTGCACTTGGGCTGGAAGGCATAGGTACCACAGACGTACAGGTGGGAGGTATTGTATGGCTGAAGGAAGCAGATGAAGTTGAAGCACTCGGTCTTCAGAGAGAAAGGTATACAAGTTAGTGAGCACTGAGAATCAGAGACGCAGGATCACCAGGGTCCAGAGGCCAGGGAGGCGAACATGCCACAGAGGTCTGGCAGGGGAAGTGCCCTGACACCCACCTGGTTGCTCTTCCCTTTCCGGGTACACTCAATCTTCTTCTCAGTCGGGGCCCTCCAGGTGATCTGAGGATGGGAAATGACATATCAGCCATGTCACAGGCATGTGTTAAGTATGTGCCGCAAACACAGCTTGAGCTATATACCACAGGTGACACACCTGGTCCCCATTCTGACACAAGCCCGAAATTATCCCTCCTGGCAGAACCCAAAGGGATTAGAGAGCAATCACTAATCCTGACACCAAGAGCGACCTCTGGGCTGAGTGAGGGACAGGCCACACCGCCCCCAGTCCTTTTCCTTTCCCCTCTGTGTGCCTCCCACTGCCCCACCTCTCACCGCTCCTCGCAGGTCCAGAGCCTCTATGCTGAAGGAAAACAGCGCCTCTCGAGCCCCCACATATAAAAGCCCAGAGTGCTCTCTCAGGGTCAAGGTCAGGAAGTCCTGGACGCCCGGCAGGGAGAACCGCCTCACTACTGTGGCCAGCTCTGCAGAAACAGGGACAAGAACAAGGCGGGGATGAGCAAGGAGTGAATGGCAGCCCCGACATCAATCTTCCTTTGTCCAAGAGTCCCCCAGGCCTCATCACCACAGTTCTCCACAGAAGCTAGCAACACACATACAGAAGACAGCCAAACCCCTACTGGCCATAAAGGACTTTTTCTGAATAGACTTTGGCTCAACAGCTCCACCCTACCCAGGCTTCCAAAGCCCCTCTTCAGCCTGGGAGGAGGCAATCTGGGCTGGTAAAGGGGAAGGAAGGATATCACAGCCAAAGCTCCCGGCCACAGGAAGCCATCTGACTGATGGCTCTCACTCAGGGTCAGCGGTACCTCAGGCACTGAGCAGGGCACTTCCCCCTACCCTGGCATCCTCAGCTGTCATTTCCTCCTTTGCTCTCCTACTTGCAGACCACATTAGGGTCCAGCCAGACCCTGGTGGCAGATCCAATGGGGCAGGAAGCAAAGAACAGTTGTGAGCATTCCTTGTCTAAGAAGCCATTCACACCAGCAGGTGCCCGTCCAGGCTTCCAGAGATGAGAGCACAGGTGGGTATGGGACTGGCAAGGTGGCATTGTGGGGAAGGAGGAAGAAGTTAGGACCAGGAAGGCAAAGGAACCAGAGACTCAGAGATCAGAGATGGTGTTGAAGCCTGAGATGCTGTGCTGTCATTCAGCACATGGAGGGCATACACATAGTCATGTGATCTGTCAGAGGCTCATATTCCTGGCCACCTGGCCACAAGGTCAACATGTAAACCAGCCTCAGTCTTTGGAGGCAATGACCAGCCAGAGCTGGGTCGCCATGGGAGGGGCTTCATTAGCAGCTGAGTGCAGCCTGTGGGAGGTGAGCTCATCCCATGTCCCAAGAGCCCATAGACGGTACAAACACCTGACATCACCTCTTCATACAGGTGTGTGTGCAAAGGAGCACTGTCTGTTCAGCTCTGCCTCCTCCCCCGTTAAGCACAAGCAGGTATATACATCCACCTAGAACCACCAGACAGCTCCAGTGTTGGGGTCACAGGGGAGAACCATTAAGTGAATTAAGGGGCTTCTAGGGACAGACAGCTAGAGAGACTGGAGATGGGATTAGGCTTACACTTGCCCTGGGGTTCAGGTTTCTTTCTCTAGGCTTCCAAGTACTAGTGACAATTCAAGTGAGGAACAGGGAGGGTGACTCAAAAACTAGCTCCCTTGCACACCAAGACAGTCAAGTGTGGGTAGGTGGTGGGGGGTAGGGGGTGGTAAGAGACTGCACAGTTATCCCAGTGTCAGATGGGGGCAAATCCCAGGTCCCGACCTGCACTACCAGTTCTAGGTCCCTGGGGCCACTCACATTTCTTAGAAAGCCACAACCACACATATCAGTACAAAGGTGCATGCTTGGGGGTAATTCCTCAGCAGCTGCTCCCTCCTTCAAGCAAGCATCCCCTGCTTCACCCAGCATCCATTCCTGCCTCCCTCTGGCCCTGCCTCCCATGCTTCGGGCACTCACCCCCAGAAGATACTGTCTTCCGGGGCGCAAGGTTCCACCACACCTCAGCCCCAATGCCCAGGCCCCACAGCCCTGCTGCCATCAGCCAGACAGCCCAATGTGGGGCCATGGCAAACACCCAGGCTCTAAACTTCAGTCCAGCAGTCCTGCTGAAGGAAAAGAAACTGGTCAGCATCACAGACCGGAAGGAGGCCCGCACCAAGAGACCGGCAGCACGGGGCACACACTTGAACACAACTCCCCCGGAGCTCCTGGATCTCCCCTGCTCCCCTTTTTTTGAGCAGACCTAGTTTCTGCAACTGGCCTCTGCCCCCCAGGGGCCCCGGGGGTCTCCCAGAGGAGCAAAGACAGGAGCTGAGTCAGCAAGCAGTAGGCGTGGGCAGTCATCAAAGAGCCTTCTATGGCCTCCAGGCCATCCCTACTCCCTCTCTTCAACAGGGAGTTGTGTAGAAAAAATAAAAAAGGGACTCCTCTCCTTTCCTGCCTTCAGGTTTAAAAGGTTTTAGAATAATCTTAAGAAAGAGGACCTGCTACCTGGGCTCCGGCCAGCCCCAAGACCTAATTTGGGGAGGCATACCCCTTATTCGGCAGAGGCAAGCAGGCGGTAGAGCAAAGACCCCCAATGGGGGACTTGGTGCAGCAAGCTACGTGCAAGAGTTCCCGGCCCCAGCCTGTCCCCTCCCCCAGCGCAGACAATAGCCGGGCAGAGCCCAAACCCGGTTCCACATCAGCAGGGCTGGAGTAGGAGTGGGGCCGGGAACCAAAAGGGCCCAGCTTCCCGAGGCCCCTTTGTTGCCCAAGAGAGAGGCAGGAAGTGGGTGGGATGGGCGTGGAAACGACCAGGGCCAGTCCTGTTCTTCCAACAGCCTTCGGCGAGGCACTGACTCTCCATCAGAGAGACGGTGGGGCAACGAGTAGGCTCCGGGCGTATGGGGATCTCCTCACCGCGGCGGGAGCCGGGTCGTGGAAGGAAGTGAAATGGGTTTGGGAGGCCAAAGGGGTTTCTCCTGGAGCACATGGTATGCCCAAGAATGGCCCTCGAGGGGCTGCGTTCCCCTGGCTCTGACAAACGTTCTTAACTCGGAGATTGCCCCCCGGGGACCCTGGACAAGGCACTAGGCCAGAGGGGCTGATTTCCACTAATCCAAACGTTCGGGGACGAGAACAGAGATGCAAAATCTTGGGATTTCACCCCAAAACAAAGGTTCCAAGCCAAGACCCGGTCCAGGTCTTCCTACCGTGGGCTCTCCCCTCCCCCAGCTCCGGGGATTTGAATGCAAACAAAGCGGCGGCACTGGGAGCGTGGCAAAACCTGGCTTTTGGGGGCCCCCCTGGGGGCCCGGGACCCCC